GATACTGCCTTGGAAACCCAAGAAGGGGTCGCTATGAGTCGGGTCCGACTCGACAGCACATAACAACAACAACAACATATATATATACATATATATATATATATATATATATATATATATGTATTTTTTTTTAACTGTGTTTTTGGTGAAGGTTTACACAGCAGTTTAGGTTCCCATTCAACAATCTCTACACAAATTATTCAGTGACATCAGTTACATTCTTCACAATATGTGAACATTCTCATCATTTCCAGCCTCACTGTTTTGTTTCCATTAATCTAGTTTACCTGCTTTCTCACCTTCTCACCTTTGTTTTAAAGCAATTGTTGACCATTCTGCCTCATATAGATGACTTTTTTTAAAGGCACACAGTACTCATGGGTGATTCTTTATTTTGTGACCTTATCGCAGGGTAATAGTTTTGGATAATCTCCCAGTTTCAAATGATTCGGTAAGCCTGGATTTTTTTTCTTCGAACTTTTTTATTGTAATTTGGGTGAAAGTTTACAGAGTAAATTCATTTTCCATACAGCAATTCATACACATTTTGTTTCATGACATTGACTGCAATTCCCCACAATGTAATAGCTCTCTTCCCACTTCATCCCTGTAGTTACCTCTTCCCTGTGTCCCTCTTTCCTATGCATTCCTGCCTCCAGACCTCCAGCTATCTCCCCATGCAAAAACTGCCCTTTTGTTCTCCCATGATTGATAGTTCTAAGTAGTGTATCTATCTGATGTAAGTGTTCACCCTATGTGCCTGTCTATTGTTTGACTGGAAGCCACAGGAGTGACTTCAGATCCAGATCTGAAGAGTAACTAACTAGAAGCCATAGTCTCAGTGTCTCACCAAGCTCTATCAGACCAGTAAACCTTTTTTTTTTTTTTTAATGATTTTGAATTTTGTTCCACATTGTTCTTCCAGTCTATCCTGGATCTCCTGCACTGACCCCTTTCTGAGTGGTTGATGGTAGTAGCTGGGCACCATCTAGTTCTTCTGGTCTCATGATCACATAGGCTAAGGTTCACACAGCCAACTAGTCCCTTGGACTAACTGTTTTCATGCATCTTTGTTTTTCTTCATTCTTCTTTACTCTGGATGAGGAGAGACCCATTGTTGCATCTAGATGGCCACCTGAAAGCTTTTAAGACCCCAGTTGCTATTCACCAAAGTAGGATATAGAACAATATTTTTGTGTAGTATGTTATGCCAATTGAGCTAGACGTCCCCTGAGACTATGGTCCTGAGCCCACAGGTCCAACTACTCACTCCCTCAGGATGGTTAGCTGTGGCTAAGAAGTTATCGTAACTCTGCCCCATATTAGCTCTATTATATATGTGGACATTCTTACAGCACATACAAACATGCATGCAGAAATATCATTTGCTGACCTTATATACGATCATGGGTATATTCTCTTTTGCCTAGACAAACCTGATCACTCAGCCTGTCTAGCTAGCTATTTACCCATAGATTAATGTTGTTACCACTGATAATGCAATATTGTATACGTAAAAGTGTTTAATTTTGTTGTCTGTATCTCTTGTGTACCTCTGTCTTCCTTTTCCTTAGTGTTATAATATTGGTCACTCTATTTGATATATTGCCTTTCCCTTCACCCAAATCAATACTTGTCTTAACTATGTAGCAATTTTCCCTCCCCTCTCATCCCAGGTAACCAACAAAGAAGTTTCCTTCCATATATAAACCTTTCCTTAACTTTTGACAATAGTTTTGTGATTGACTTACTTCACTCAACATAATGTCCTCCAAGTTCATTCACATTACGCAGTGTTTCAGATTCTACATTATTTCTTTAGTATTGGATAGTATTCCATTATGTGAATGTACCACAGTTTGGTTACCCATTCCTCTGCTGATGGGCACTTAAGTTGTTTCCATCTCATTGGTATTGTGAATAGTGCTGCAATGTACATGAGTGTGCATATTATCTATTCATGTCCTGGTTCTCACTTCTTTAGAATATATACCTAATAATGGGATTGCTGGATCAAATGGTATTTCTATTTCCAACTTTTTGAGGAATAGCCATAATGATTTCCACAGTGGTTGTATCATTTTACAGTCCCACCAGCAGTGTATGAGAATCCCAATGTCTCTACATCCTCACCAGCATTTGTTATTTTCTGTGTTGTTGAACTTTGCTATTAATGCTAGGGTGAGATAGTATCTCATTGCTGTTTTGATTTGCATCTCTCCAATGGCTAATAATTGCAAACATTTCTTCATGTGTTTGTTGGTCGCCTGTATATCTGCTTTGGTGAAGAAGTGTTCATTCTTCTGACCATTTTTAAACTGGATTGGTTGTCTTTTTGATGTTTAGGTGTTAGTGTTTTCCACAAATTTTAGAGGTAAATCCATTGTCAGGTATGTCGTCGTCAAATATCTTTTTCCCATCTGTAGGTTCTTTTTCCACTCTTTTGGAGAAGTCTTTTGAAACACATAAACATTTAAGTTTTAGAAGGTCCAATCATCAAGTTTATCTTCTGCTGTGTGTGCATTTTTGGTTATGCCCGATAGTCTGAATTAGGGCCTATAAATCTGCCCCTGTGTTTTCTTTGCTGAACTTTATAGTTTTAGGTTTCACAATTAAGTCTTTGATCCATCTGTAGGAAGTTTTTGTGTATGGTATGAGGTATGGATCTTGTTTCATTTTTCTGCAAATGGATATCCAGTTTTGCCAGCACCATTTGTTAAAGAGACTCTCTCCCCTATTTAATGGATTTTGGCCCTTTGTCAAAAATCATCTGATCATAGGTCAATGGATCTATTTCTGGGTTCTCAATTCTTTTCCACTGGTCTATGTGTCTGTCATTGTGGGAACATTAGGCTGTTTTGACTACCATGGCTATATGGTAGGTTTCGAGATGGAGGAGTATGAGACCTCCTGGTTTGTTCTTCTTCTTCAATAGTGCTTTGCTTATCTGAAGTCTCTTTGTTTCCATATAAAATTAGTGATTGGTTTTTCCATATTCTTAAAGAATGTGGATGGGATCTGGATTGGGATTACAATTAATGTATAGATCGCTTTGGGTAGTAATGACATTTTCACAATGTTCAATTTTACTATCCATGAGCATGGTATGTTCTTACATTTATAAAGTTCTCTTATGGTTTTCTGAAGTAGTGTTTTAAAGTTTACTTTGTACAGGTCTTTTGTGTCCCTGATAAGATTTATTCCCAAGTATTTTATTTTTTTTGGTAGGTATTGTAAATAGTATTGATTTCTTTTTCAGTGATCTCTCTCCTGGTATAGATGAAGCCAACTGATTTTTATATGTTGATCTTGTATCCTACCACTATACTAAATCTTTCAATTAGTTCTAGTTGTTTTCTTGCTGAGTCACTTTGGTTTCCTATGTATAGGATCATACCAACTACAAATAGGGATAGTTTTACTTCTTCTTACCAATTTGGAAGTCTTTTGTTTCTTTTTCTTGCCTTATTGCCTTGGCTAAGACTTCCAATACAATGTTGAATAAAAGTG